ACTAACTACTTCATTGTTTGTTTTTATGGAACGCCTCGAGCGTAATTAATAAAATGAAATGAAATACTCAGTAATAGTACTCAGTACTCAGTAATACGGATAGTAAAATCTGCGCTGTACGACTTTCCGCTTACTTTATTGACTACTATTCGATGGGCTCAAACTAATTACATAAATGCTTCAGTAATGAACACTTTTTAGCCCAACCAGCTAATGATCTGAGCAACAATTACATTTAGGTGAAAGCTACTAGCAGGGAGCATTGCCGTCATTGCAAAGGAAACGACCACTGGAGTACAAACTGTCCTTATAAGGTATCTTACATCCGTTCATAGTTACTGCTTTGTATTCAGGTAGATAATTGTTTCGGTTTAGGAAATGTATGCAACGGAGGATGATATTGAGAACACCGAAGCAGCAGAAAAGGAGAGAACAGCAGCAGGTACTGGTCGTTATGTTGCGCCTGGAATGCGTGGTGATGCTCGCCAAGGAGATCGCAGGTACGGTTCATATTAGTTTTGCATTTCGCAGTTGTTTATATCATGCTCAGATCCGATGAAAATACGTGTCGTGTTACCAACCTTCCTCAAGAAATGGAGGAGGCAGAACTTCGAGAGCTGTTTGCGGCTATTGGCCGTGTATCCGTAAGTGTTACTTTTTTTATCGCAATTTTCTCACTGAATGTGCTTTAGCGTGTGTTTATTGCTCGTGATAAGGTGACTAACCAACCTAAGGGATTCGCCTTTGTCACATACGACTTGAGAGAAGTAAGTTTTTCAGTAGTAGATTTGTCAAGAAGAGCACACCTTTTTTGCTTCAGGATGCTGAGAGAGCAATAGCAAAACTGAACGGTATACGAAGACATCACATGGTGCTTAGGGTGGAATGGACTAGGTAAAATCCAGCAACAGCACTTTTTGGGAGCTTCTGGTCATTGTTTTTTGTATTTTCAGGCCAAGCAACTAAATTTCTTGCGGGACTTATTATCTCCGTCGGTGTATGCTGCAATTCGGACGGTGTTCTATGTTAGCGCTAATTTCCAAATTCTTGCTGTTTTTAGCCTGTCGGTTACTTTTCTGTGTGTTGGGAATATGTGATGAAGATTTTTACA